GCCCTAGGCCAAGACATTCATGCATCCATGCATCCATCCACTCATTCATAACAAACATAGTTGCAGATGTTTTTTTTTTAGTGAAAGTCGCTCAGTCATGTTCAACTCTTTGTGACCCCATGGACTATACATCCATGAAATTCTCCAGGCCAGAATACTGGAGTGGGTAGCCATTCCCTTCTCAATGGGATCTTCCCAACCCATGAATTGAACGTAGGTCTCTAGCATTGTAGGCAGATTCCTTACCAGCTGAGCTACCAGGGAAGCCCTATTGTAGAAAAAGGCTGCAAATGTTTCGCAGGCAACTATAGTAACTGTTTTCAAGGAGCTAATATTTTAGAGAAAAAAAGACAACAGTAAAGCAAGTAAACAAGATATTTCAGATAGTGGCAAGTGCTATGAGGAAACTAAAGAGAGGTGATATGATAAAGGATGAGGGGGGAGTGAGCTCCTTAGATCGGACAGAGAGGGAAAGTCTCTCTGAGAATGTGACATTCTCAAGACAAAATTACAGGGTAGAGCATTCCTTATGAAATTTCAAAACACCTTGAATGAAAAATATCCTTAAAACTTCCAAACAAAAGCTGGTCACAGAGAGAAGAGAACTTGGACTGAAATTAAATTTGTTAAGTATCCTCAGCATTAAATGACAGATAATAGGCACTTCCCTGGTGGTACAATGGATAAGAATCCACCTGCCAATGCAGGGGGACATGGGTTTGATCCTTGGTCTGGGAAGATTCCGCATGCCAAGGGCAATTAAAACCCATGAGCAGCAAGGACTGAGTCCATGCGCCCAAGAGCCTGTGCTCCGCAACAAGAGAAGTCACCACAATGAGAAGCCTGTGCACCTCACCGAAGAGCAGTCCCTACTCACCGCAGCTAGAGAAAGCCCACTTGCAGCAAAAAAGACCCAGTGCAACTCAAAAATAAGTAAATAAAAATGCTAGATGACCAAAGAATGGTTTCAAAGTTCTCAGAAAAACAAATGTTTAACCTATAATTCTATACCCACTCTAACTACCATTTAATTGTGAAAGAATAATAAAGACATTTTAATAAACGTACAGACTGAGAAAGCTTTTCTTACCGTGAACCCTTCCCTAGGAAGTTATCCAAGGACTTTTTTCTGGCAAAAAAAGAGTTAACAAATAAATAACTACATAGACAACTACCACTGGGTACAATTGAGATCTATGAAAGGAAGTTCATGGAAATAAGTTATGCAAAAGAGCATTCAATCCAACTAAAACAAGATTATGGAGAGTTTCTGGAAAAAGAAGGATTTAATAAACCAGAAAGTATAATTGAGAACTTATATATATGGGCAAGATAAAGGTCCTTAGTAGGAGAAAGAACAGGCCTTTGGAACTCAAAGACAAACAACACAAGAAACTCATGGTCCAAATATGATACAGTTTTAAGCAGGTTCCCTTTCCCGACCTACTTAGTAGATGACTACTTCTTCCTCCAACCCTATATTTTCTGGGGGAAATGAACCAAAGCCTCTGTACTTAAGAGCACCACATGAAGGAGCCCTTTGGTGAGATGCTAGGATCACGATAAAGGAATTTGATAAAATTCATTTGCAAAATGAACAGTAGGTCCCGGGCCCATTCCAGTCACCACCTCACCCCCAGCTCTGGAATGCCAGCAGCTGGACTTACAACCTTGAACCCACCACAGCACAGCCCCAGCCAAGAGATAGAAGCATCCTTCTCTTGAGGAGTTGAAGCACCTCAGAAGTAAGACTTCAGGTTCTGACAGCAAACACCCCAGTGAAAATGCCAGCTGTCCCCATGCAGGTACCCTATGGTGAGATCCACCAAATGACAAGCCCTACCTTCAGGCACAGAGCCCTACTTCTCAGCCTTAATTTTAAATTCACACTTTTTAATACTGAGAGAAATCTCAGGCTGACTTGAAATTTGAGGGAAACTTTCAATAGAAGGGAGACAGCAAAATAGAAAGCAGGCACTCAGAGGAAACAGACAATTCAGGGAGGAACAGAAACTAAATAATGTTGCAGAAGTAAGAGGAGCTATCCCATCCATGAAGCAAGAACACTAGGAGCAGGAAACAATCAAAAATCAAGAGAGAACTTTGGAAACTGAAAACCACAATAGCTTTAAAAAAGAGTTCAGCAGAAGGCTGGGAAAATAAAGTTGAAGAAATCTTTCCCAAAAAACAGGACCAAAATTAGATATAAAATAGGTTGTAAAGACTAAGAAAATGAGAGAATCAGTGAAGGAGAAACAAGAAAAAAAAACACCTGTGTTTATCTTTCTGGCTTACTTCACTCTGTATAATGGGCTCCAGTTTCATCCATCTCATTAGAACTGATTCAAATGTATTCTTTTTAATGGCTGAGTAATATTCCATTGTGAATATGTACCAACTAATAAAAATAAATGAAAAAAATAAATAAAAATTTTAAAAATAAACTTTGGAGGGAAAATATCAACATTGAACCTTTTTAAAAAGTTAAAAATGAAAATGAAAAACATGGTCTCCAGACATTTAAAGTTCATCAAGTGCTTAGAGGAAGAAAAAAAAAGCCCCACCCCAAAGTGTATCATGGTGGAATTTGGGAATACTGGGAATAAACAGAAACTTCCAGGAAGGAAAAGTAAGACACATACAAAGGACTGGGAAAAAGAAAGGCCAGAACTCCCACAACAGCATTAGAAATTAGACAACAATGGAATGAAAACTTTAAATCTTTTAGTGAAAGTGATTTACCCAATCCAAAATTCTTTACCTAGCCAATTTGGTAATAAAATGTAATGTTTTAAAAAAAGGCTATTTCATGAAAAATCTCAAAAAAAGTAACCGCCTTTACAGGCTTCCTGTAGCCACTGTGCTCTGATAAAATGAGGGAGTAAGACAAAAGAGAGACCTTCACAGATCCCAGAAAACCGAGGATCAGTACGAGAGAGACCTCTAGGATTCCCAGGTGATAGTGGAGCAGCAGGCCCAGAGAGATCCCATACAGATGACTCCAAGGGGTTTCCTGAGTTCATCAGATGGGCAAAAAGTAATATTGAGATTTCTTGAGTCCTCAGAGGATATGGGAGGCTAAATTCAGAATCAAAGAAACAAAGGAAATGAAAATAAACTGATGATTTAATTCCAGGAAAATCACTGCTGTACAAAAGAGGAAATCTAACCATGATACAGTGCTTGAACCTCAGCTGCTAACATAATCATAACATGAAAATATCAAAAAAGAATTTGAGAGCAACTTGGGAAGAAAATACTAAACTTCTCATTTACCAAGACAGGAAGTAAAAAATAATATCTCAATTTGGTTAATTTATGCAGTATGCTTTTTTTTTTTTTTTTTGCAGTATGCTTTAAAAATACAGAGGTAAATACCAGAAGAGAGAGCTAAAAAGAACTTAAAATTATCATCCCTGGGAAGCAGGGTTAGTCAGGAGACTGCTGGGGTTTTCTTACTAATTTTAAAAATTCTATTTATGTTTGCCAATTGTAGTAAAAATAATTTGATGGAAATTATTCTTAATGTATTGCTGCTGCTAAGTCACTTCATTCATGTCTGACTCTGTGCGACCCCCTAGATGGCAACCCACCAGGCTCCCCTGTCCCTGGGATTCTCCAGGCAAGAATACTGGAATGGGTTGCCATTTCCTTCTCCAAGGCATGAAAGTGAAACATGAAAGTAAAGTCGCTCAGTCGTGTCTGACTCTTAGCGACCCCATGGACCACAGCCTACCAGGCTCCTCCGTCCATGGGATTTTCCAGGCAAGAGTACTGGAGTGGGGTGCCATTGCCTTCTCCGTCTTAATGTATTAGTGATGACTAATAACAATAGCTAACTTATCTCTGAGCACTTATTCTGTGCCAGGAGACCTGAGAGTTTTACACATTTCTTGTGTAATCCTTGCCTATGATCATTAAGTCAATAGACCAAATGTTTGGGTCCCCGAAAAACACGTGTTGAAAATTAATGCTCCGAGTTGCTGATATTTGGAGTTGAGGTCTTTGGGAGGTGACTCAGTCATGAGGGTGGGGCTCTTACGAGTAGAATTAGTGCCCTTATAAAAGGACCCTAGGGAGAAGCCTCACCCCCTCCACCATGTGAGGACACAGCAAAAGACAGCCACTTATGATCCAAGAAGTAGGCCCTCACAAGACACTGAAGTCCTTGATCTTGGACTTCCCAGCTCTGGAACTGTGAGAAATAAGCTCTTTTTGTTTCTAAGTCACCATAGAAACATTTACAGCAGCCTGAACATGTGTGTAAGTCATACCTCAGTTTTGCCATCTGTAAAATCAGGATGATAATAGTATCTACCTAATTAGTGCTGCTGGTGAGGATGGATGAGTTAATACATATAAAGCATTTAGAAGAATGCAATAGTGTTAATATAAGGGTTAGCTATGCATTGAACATCATCAACATGATTATTGGCACAGAAAGATCTCCAACCTGTATTGTTACATTAAAAAAAAATAAGCCCAGAAAAGTATGTATAGGATGCTACTTTCTTGGATATAAATCAGGGAACACTGAAAAGACATATTCACAGTTTCTTGTATAAGGAATATCCTTGAAATGATACAAGAAATGAATTAAAGTGGTTCCCTGGTTTGTTTTTGGGGAGAAGTGGGATGGAGGACTTGGGGTACACTGTATTCTCATTGAACTTTGAACTTTTTTTGAAATTATGTGACTGTATTACCTATTCAAATCTTTACATTAAGAACAGTTTTCATTAAGTCAACAAGCCTTTCTTCCTCATGGACTGTAATCCAAATGCAATGGGAGACATTCCCAGGGTCCGAAGAGACACACATAACTGAGAGACTGCGGTCTCTGCCCATCGAGGGTACAGCGCCACCAGGACAGAGATAGAAATGCAGTGATCCCTGCACAAAGGAGGGGCACAGGGCGGATCCGGGGATCCAAACAGCGCTAGGTTTTGCAATTAAATCACAACCAGGATGAGAGGAGACGGCTCTTCCAAGACACTTACCCTGTCGTGTAGGGGATGTTTATGCCCCCTAGATTGATACTTTCACATCCAACAATAAACAGGGTTGAAAAGCACAGTAAAGACACACCACTGCAGATCATTGCTAGTTTTGCAGATTCTCTTGCACCAAGCTTCAATTTTTTTATAATGTAGCCTCCCAGGACAATGCCAACACCGGCACTAGGGACAATGATGACGCCTGGAGAGAAGAAGGGAAGGACAGGATTAATTTGAAGTAATGTACACTATTTTGTTTTCTAAGTGTTCTGTTTCTACTTACTTATTAGTGCTAAAGCAAAGAATTTTTTAAAATACTGTAATCAATAAATCTTCAATGTTTGGGATTTTATAGTAAGGTTTACTTTCAACAAAGAATTCATACCTAGAATATTGCAGAACTTAACAGAGACATAAAAAGAAAGACAAGCAAGTGAGTAAAACTTAAACGGCTCTTGACTAAGAAGGAAATTCTGCTGACCCATTAAGATATAAAGATGCTCATCCTCTTTCTCAGAGGGAAATACAAATTAAAGCCACAATGAAAGCATATGCCATGTTAACCATACTGGTAAAAATTGAAAAGTCTGACAATACCATAAATAGGCAAAAGATACAGAGCAATGGGCATGCTCTGCATGGCTGGTGGGATATAAATTGTGACAGATACTCTGCAAGACAGTTTGGCATTATCTGCTAGAGTTGAAGATACACACACCCTGTGACAGGCAAGACCATTGCTAGATCCATACCCTGAAGAAACTCATGCACACAGGAACCCAAAGAAGTTTACAAAATATCTAAGCACCACAGTAGCTCCAAACTGGAAATAAGGCAAACGTCCATTAATAAATACATCGTATGGAGTAAATTCATGTACTGAAATGCTGCTTTACAACAATAAAAGTTAAGACACATAATTACATATCATTGCAATGAAGGAAGTAAAACACAACAAAAAACACAGCCTGCCTTTATTTGTATAAAAAGTTCAAAAACAGGTAAAACTAAATGTTGGTTTGGAAATGAATATACAGGAAGCACAACTATGAATAAAATCCAGGAAATAAAAACTGTCACAAGAGCCAAGATGGCAGGGGGATGGGTGGGATCCAGAAACGATACAGGAGCTCCTAAAGAACTGAAAATGCTCCTTCCCATGACCTGGATAGTCACTGCATAAGGGTTCACTTTATGATCATTCATTATCTCTAAGGATTTTTTTTTAAGGATAGTCAATTCACAATGTGATAATTTCAAGGGTAGAGCAATGTAATTCAGTTATATGTGTATATATAGGGATGGAGAAGGAAATGGCAACCCACTCCAGTATTCTTGCCTGAAAAATCCCTTGCACAGAGGAACCTGGTAGGCTACAGTTCATGAAGAGATATAGATATATAGATTCTTTTTCATATTCTTTTCCATCATGGTTTATTACAGGATTTCTAATATGGTTCCCCCTATGCTATACAGTAGGACCTTGTTGTTTATCTACTTTATATATACTAGCGTATATATGTTAATCCCAACCTCCTAATCTATCTCTCTCCGACTCTTTACCCTTTGGTAGCCATAAATTTGTTTGCTATGTCTGTGAGTCTATTTCTGTTTTGTATATAAACTCATTTGTATCATACTTTATTTTTGGCTGTGCCAGGCAGCATGCAGGAACTTACTTCCCAGATCAGGGACTGAACTCATGCTCCCTGCAGTAGGAGGACAAAATCCTAATCACTGGACCTCCAGGGAATTCCCTGTATCATATTTTAGACTCCACATATAAATTATTTAAGGTTTGATTAATGCACTTCTGTGTCCATTAGATTTCACAGTTTAAAAAAAAAATTAAATATTAGTTATATTGTTTGCCCCATGAAACTTACAATCTAAAAAAGAAACCAAAAAAAATAAGATAAATAAATAAAAATAAAAAAGAAACAAACAAAGCAAATCAAAGTATGATAGCCTGGCAACCCACTCTGGTATTCTTGCCTGGAGAATCCCATGGACAGAGAGCCTGGCAGGCTACAGTCCACAGGATCGCAAAGAGTTGGACACGACTGAAGCGACTGAGGGCAAGCATGCACAAGATAATTATACCAAGGGCAGGGAGAAAACAGGGGAAGAAGCATCTGAGTCTTCCCTGGGAGAAATCAGGGAGGACTTCACAGAGTGGCAGTATTTGAGCTGACACCCAGCAGATGCTGCCCAATGTGCTGGCACAGAGAGAATATCCTAAGGAAATCTGTGCAAAGGGGCATAAGATAGCAGAACTGAGGATTCAGAGTTCAAGCTATGGGACTGTGGAATGCAAGCTACTGGGGCGAGGAGGGGCCTGGGCAAGAGACCAAGCCCACATGGGTAAGGCCAAGCGAGACCATGATAGATCATAGAGAGGAGCTCAGGGTGTACCTCTAGGCAATGGGAAGCCACCAAGGAACTCTAAGCCAGGGTCAAAAAGGATGGGAGGTGGTGCAACAAAGATCACTGCTGGCAGAGAGACGCAGTCAACATCAGACACTTGGTCAGAAGCGAACTGCTAAGGTCCACGTTAGCCACGGTCAGGACCCACGCTGACAATCATGAGCTTCGGAGGGAATGGGGACACACAGAAGGTGGCAAGGATCCAGAATACAAGGAGAAAAGGCGTGAAGGAGCACCGCTCAAAAGCCCCATGGTAGACATGCCAAGTGTGATGGGCCCGGGGACAAGCAGGGAGAAACGCCTCACCGGTGGTCCCAGTGCTGAGAGCCCAGGAATAGCTGGCCTAGGGCATTCAGAACTGGTGGCAGAATTCATGGCATTTATGGGATGTTCTAACAAGAGCACCTTCCTCTGTTCTACTGACTGAATAAAGCTGAAAGAGCAGAGGAAGATGAAGCCTGAAAGGAGATCTCAGTAAGAGCAATTTTAAAGGAAGGCAGAAGCCAGGCTGCAATGGGTTAAACCATCAGGCATGAGGATTGAGAGACTGAAATTCAAACTCTTTGTAGAATTCAGACTCTAAAGGGAAAGGGGGCATGGGTCTAGAGTTAGAGTGGGGCCCTGGATATTCATTGGAAGGACTGATGCTGAAGCTGAAGCTCCAATACTCTGGTCACCTGATTCAAAGAGCCGACTCATTGGCAAAGACATCGATGCTGGGAAAGAATGAGGGCAGGAGAAGAAGGGGACGACAGAGGATGAGATGGTTGGATGGCATCACCGACTCAATGGACCTGGGTTTGAGCAATCTTCGAGATATGGCGAAGGACAGGGAAGCCTGGTGTGCTGCTAGTCCACGAGATCACAAAGAGAACCTGAACAACAAGGCAGACTGAGGAATTGAACAATAAGGCAGAGCTGGGCCTTGGGGAATTTCGCTTGTTTGTTTACACATGCAGGGGACTTAAGCATAGTTATAAGCTCACAAAGAGATTAAAAAGAAATGGCAGATTGAACAGGGAGGGAAAAGGTTATCTAATGCCAAGGCAAGGTCTGTGAGAAGGAGAATATAGAATTAAAAGCACACATGATCAGATTAGCCCTGGGGAGAGAGAGGCCCCTGCAACTGAGCTGGGAATCAGATTTGGGAGGGGTGAGGGTCGGGGATACATCAGTGGGTGGGTGATAGCTCCTCAATAGTTTTTCTGTTGTTGTTGTTATTTTGGAAACATCATACAATACATGTTGTAATAAAACAACATATAGAAATATAAAGGACCGAAACCCCACAGCTTACATTCTGGCAGAGTTCACTCCATCTTTTTTTCCATGTTATTTTCCCCATCAATAATTGATAACAGGGACTTCCCTGGTGGCAAAGACTCTGCACTCCCAACACAGGGGCCCAGGTTCAACCCCTGGTCAGGGAGCTAGATCCCAAATGTGGCAACTAAGACCTGGTGCAGCCAGATAAATAAATACTAAAAAAAAATTTTTTTAATAAAAAGAATTGATAACATGTGTAGATTCTTTATGACATTGTTGTTCAGTTCCTCAGTTGTGCCCGATCTCTGCGACCCCATGGACTGCAGCACACCAGGCTTCCCTGTCCTTCACCATCTCTAGGAGTTTGCTCAAACTCATGTCCATTGAATTAGTGATGCCATCCAACCATCTCGTCCTCTGTTGTCCCCTTCTCCTCCTGCCTTCAGTCTTTCCCAGAATCATCAGGGCCTTTTTCAATGAGTCGGCTATATAGATTCTTTATATATATATATATACATACATACACATACATATTATATAGCTTTGGTTTGGGAAGAGCTATGGAGAACTTTAAATATAGCCAAAGATTGGAATAACCACTGTGGGAAAGAGAGCGCTAAATAAGAATATGTACTTGGCTTTGCAGGTGGAGAACTGTGGGTCCAGGTGATACTAGATTTCAGAAGTCTGCAGCTGCATCGATGTTCATGCTTTGATGGCTTGCTCCTGCATGGTCAACAGCCCATGTGAAAGGTCGGGGGTGGGTATTAATAGATTAATCTAAAGTCTGAGCTTTGCATGGGTTGGCAGGAAAAAAATCGTCTTCACTTGTAATCCCCACCACAGTCCTGACTTTATAAAACTAGTAATGGCTGTTTGACAGATGAGGAAGTGACTGGCCCAACAGTGCACACACAGGGGAAGAAGAGACAGATGGAAACTGAGGTTCCTGCCTCCCAGACCAGCCCATCCTCCACAGCACCACAGATGCTGCTCAGAACAGCGGTATCTGAAATCTTGTAAGTAACCCGACTACAGCTCTGAGTTGCTTAACAAACTTTCCTCCTTATTAAAGAACAGTAAAAATTACATCAACATAAATAAAAAGCCTTACCTTTAGAGTGCATCTGCCCATTAATAAAATCACTATTTTAGTTGAGCAAAGTTTATCTTTATAGATACCGTGCTAGGCCCCAGGATAGCAACAAAACAAATCCCCACACTAACAGCTGAGTCATAATTTAAAGTGAAAGTCACTCAGTCATGTCCGACTCTTTGCGACCCCATGGACTTCTCTAGTCCTTGGAATTCTCTAGCCCAGAATACTGAGTGGGTAGCCTTTCCCTTCTCCAGGGGATCTTCCCAACCCAGGGATGGAACCCAGATCTCCTGTATTGCAGGCAGATTCTTTACCAACTGAGCTGCATAATTTAAAAGCAGTATAATTTGTTTGCCTGTGCATCCTAATTAGTATTCAGGGGTGTTTTTTAGTAATCAGTTCTTTAAAAC